GAAACTGAACGTGTGGATCACTGGCCAAAAGGGACAATAGCCCAGGACCAGATAGTAACTTGACTTTGTTGGATTACGCTAAACCAATTTTTAGATTTCTGGGTTTTAGTGTGTGTGTGTGTGTGTGTGTGTGTGTGTGTGTGTGTGTCCCTGTCCTTTGAAAGATCCTAAAAATCCTATGGTGTAAGAGACCTAGTTTTACCCAAAGTAAGCTAGCTTTTGTCTTTGACTCTGGAGCAATACACCTGGAAACAACTGGGATACCTTGGTTTGGGACTTTTAGGCCACACCTAGGTATTTGTGCTGGCAACTAGGGAGGAGCTCACTGTGAAGTCCGATAGCAACTAGCTTCAAGAAGTGTAGTTTAACCTATCTTGTGAAACTGATTAAATCAAAGCTCTGCACACAGAGGCCCAGAGACCTTCCTGGCTCGTGTGAACATCTGCTTTGGGGAGGGTAGTGCATCGTTTAGGACACAGGAGCTCCACATGAGTGCTCTCCCCATGCGTATCCTTCATTTGTATCCTTTTTCGCTGTACACCACGGTCAGGAGTACAGAGGACTCTGTGAGTTCTGAGCCCTTTCCAGCACATTCCTGCCCAAAGGGGCCGTAGGAGGCAGCAGGTCAGAAAGTACGGGTACCTGTCCTGTGGACTCCTGACTGTGGCCAGCATCCTGAAGGCAGCCAGTCCTCAATGTGTGGCCTGCAGGTTAGAAGGTTGGGAGATTGGAGCTGGCGCCTGCTTGCTCGGCAGGCCGATAGATGGTGTTCCTTCAACTGACCTCACCCTGGGTGGCTGGTCAGAAAAGAGTGCTGTAGAAAATGGAGAGGTGGAGCTATAAGGACTGGCTCAGGAGCCACCTTTTGGAGATTGGATGAATGCTTATCTGTCCATGCAGGTACCAAAACTGACAAGGGGAGATGTGGAAAAGGAGTGGAGGGAAGAGATGTCCTGAATTAAGGTGACCAGATTTAAAGCAGGACACCATTGACCAGGGCGGGAGGAGGGGGGGGCGGTTCTTGATTAAAATTTTGGTCTATATGGACCAAATAGATCGTTCCCTAGCTTGTCGTGCATTCTTTCAAAAAATTGGGACTTTTTTAAAACGTCAAAAATTGGGACTGTCCTGCCAAAAGCGGGACGCCTGGTCACCTTACCTGAATGTTCCCAGGCAGGCGGACATCCCTGTAGTGAAGCTTAATTCCAGCCTCCTGCAGAGGCAGGGGATTGTGTAAGGTGGCTCTTCTAGTCAAAGTCTCGAACTCCCACCAAACCACCTTTCCCTGCATGGGTGGGTAAGAAGGTGGGAGAAGATGCTGGTATGATTCACCTGCACTTGTGAATAGGGTTTCCTGGAGTGCCTTACTGCTGTGTATACATTGAGCCCTCCAAGAAGCAGGAGGAAGGATCTCACTACCAGCAAGAGTGGAGCATGTCCTCTAGACCTGAGATCCCTGCACAGTGAGCCTCCTGTGTCCAGAAGACAACTACACCATCAGAGGAGCACAGCAGAGCCAGGAGTGACAGCAACTGACAGAGGGATGGACTTCCCAACCCACAGAGCAAGGAACGCCCAACACTTTTGTGCAGGAGCCCGGCTTGCGGAGCGAAGCACCTCTTGGACACTTCATTCAGGAAGGTGGGCTTGCAGACCCTCGGAGATTGAACTGAATGCTCGCAGTGGAGTGTATGCCCTGCAGGCATTTGTTAGCAACCTGGACAAGACTTTGTAACAGGTCCTAATAAACAGCTCAACCCCGGGCATTTCTCACTGGTATTATACAACTTGTTAACCTCCTCAATAAACCCTTTCATCATGAATTTCATCTGTGAGTTCTACACAGCCATTTTAATGAGTATTAGCAACTAGAGAGGTAAAACGGAACGCGAAACCCTCCTTTCCCACAGGTAGGCCTATGAGTTCAAGTAGTGACAGTATGGGTTTAGGTTTCTAAAAGCAGCTAGAATGAAGAACAAAGATGCGTCCATTTTATTTAGTCTCTTGTTCTTAACAGACACAAATGAAATCAAACAACACACATGTCTCTTTCCCCCCCCCCCCCCCCTGGGTAAATCTGGCCTGGCTTAGTCTGCAATGCGGTGAACAGAAAAACCATCTCTAGCTACTTCTGTACCAGTCGAGGGGGCCATGTTGAGCCAGGGGACCCAGGCCAACTCTACAGTAAAGGTAGTCTGTTATGTCACAAACACTCCAGGTGCACTAGCAGCCTGGGGAAGAGGGGCAGTCCCTGGCTCCCAGCAAACTAGCTTCCCAGTTCTACTCAGGCCTCCTAGGGAAAT